GTGGGAATTCAATCTTCAAATGCAAGCAACACTAGCTATGAGACAAAAATAGATGAGATTAGGAGGTTTCGTAGGTGCAGTGGCAGAAAGTGGTTGCGGCAGAAGAAGCAACTCTATGTGTAAAATCTTATTCCAGAAGCCGATGCGAAGACATCAAAAAGGATGGCACAAGATCATCAAGGGAAGGACATGGAAAAGAAGTCAAAGAGAATGGCTCAAGATCTAGAACGTGTCAGGAGCATGCCAGAAGAACTTCCACACATGCAGCGCGAATGCAGAGCAGTATCTTAATGCAAGGGCGTCTTAGGAAGAACCTCTTAGTGCAAGATATGAAAGGAAAAGACAAGACGGACGAAACACGACAGTACAGGACCTCGGATGCCTCGAATGCTTCGCATGGCCTTGCACGACATCTCGCGCAACCGCAGAGATTCGACACACGGATGCAAGACACAAGACATCTGGAGGAATACACAAGGTACATGGAAGACAAGACAAGACGGACAAAACAAAAGACGACAGAACAGTGATCCCCGCGTCGGATGCATCGAATGCTTCGGACGTGTAAGACTATGAAAGACAAGACAAGACAAGACACTTTGTGCAAGCCTGCGCATTCGAAATGCACGTGGGCATTTCACAAGAGCCATTTTGTGCGAGAATTTGCAGGTAAAATGCCGCCGACCAGCTGGAGCCCCCTGAACAAGCACCGGCCTTTACACTTACCGTAAGGACCCCTCAGTGTGGACACACTGTTTGGGGAAATAAAGGCACGTCAATGTATTGCCTTGCATCCTTCGGAGCTGTTTGCACCCAAGCAAATTTGACTATGAAAGCTCTGCGGGTGTTGCCTGCAAAATATCAGAACCGCAAGGAAGTACGAAATACCGAGCCATTGCAACTGAGAATCTTGTATGTAAAATGGCCTTGTACCGACTCATTTCGACAGCACTCCAAGTGAAGCACCGTCTTGATGGCCCACCACGCTGGTGCCCTCCGCCATGGATCTCCGCTAGTGTCACGGAACTCATCCCTCACCTTGCAGCACACCCCAGGGCAAGGGCCGGGCACAGCACCCCTGAAACAGAAACACACATTGAACAAAACTCCAAAAGTACAATTCACATAATATGATTCTCATATGACTGCAGAAACATGTGTTGAGACTGTTGAGGCTGTAATGTTGCAACGGCCAAGGGGCTTTCTTCCACACGTGAACTGTGAGGTCAACGCTCTTGCCGCAACAGACCGGCAGCAAATAATCCATGATCACTGCTGGCGCATTGGGTTCATATCGGCCTCTTGTTTTGGATTCTTTCAGTTCAACTTCTGCCAGCTCTGCCACAAGTTTGCAAAAGCCGGGATTGGCAATACGCTTCCACTCCACATCCGTGGCAGCAGATGGCACACACTGCTCTGGCGGACGCATGCCCATGACTTCTGCAGGTGGCAGCTGAACTCTCCACGCTGACAGTCTCGCTGAATCGGCCGCCCTCCGTTCAATGTGTAGCATTGTGTTTTGCGGCCGAAGCCAGAAAGCTGCTGCGCGACCAACTTCCAAAGAAGTGATTCTCTCTTTCACAAATTTCTTGGTAGGTCTGTTCACCACGCAGGAAACAATTCGTTTATACGGCTCTGCCCACGAAGCTGACACCAGCAAAAAGGTGGCAAGGACATCAGCATCCACATCTGCCGCATCATCAAGCCCATGCACAACACGGGGCAAGAAAAAAGTGCGTAGAGCGTCCTCACTAAAAGGATTCCCCAGGTTCGCGGCTTCAGTTCCAGCTCCTGTTTGGTCGGTGGCATGTTCTGGCTGATGTTTCAAGAACTCATAGGCACTGTGAAGCATCTGGAAATGCTCCGTAGCCTCTTCTCTTTCTTCTGGCCCACACTTGTCGGGATGGCACTCTCTTGCTCGAGTGCAGAAGGCGATTCTGATCTCTCGTTGAGAGGCAGACTGGTCCACCCCAAGCACAAAGTGGGGATCAAAACTCATACCTCTCCACCTTGCAAGTCTCCTAGCACAGAAAAAAGTGTGACAAAACCACACAAATGCAATAGCACTCTAGGTTTGCTGACACCAGGCAAAACCGTTTGATTTGATAACGTTTGCTTCACACCGGCCTTGCGGCGCAATGCAACAGCGTCAAAGCTGTAGCCTCAAAAAAGGCGCCTCAGCACCATCAGAACAAAAAACTCCAACATGGCAATCAGCAGTGCACCGAATTTCTCAAACATGGGTTCCACGATCCAGCTTTATAGCTAATGATGCTACTGCAATTCTATATATATATATCATGATTGCTCCATGCATGCCAATCTTCTCAGGTAGAAATGGTCGAAACACAGCCAGATCCGAAAGACGTCGCAGCGCCTTGTCTGCTCGCGCAGCTGACAGTCAAACTCTGCAATCAGCTGTGGAGCCAAACTTACGGTGTGATCTTCCTTACAATCCCAACTTGCATTTTTAATGTATGTACTTCATACTCCTATCTTTGACAAAGGTCAGTCTTCACAAGCAAATGTTCAAGCAACTCATGCACTTTTTGCAACCTTGGTGTGCTACTCGATTCAGTTGGCTTGTGCCTCCTCTCAGGCAGCACCCAACAACTTGCTGGTTTCTCCACTTGCCTGCAGCAAAGAACGAAAGGTCACACTTGGGTATGAACGCTGAGCTACAATGCGACATGCTGCAGGCCGCTTCAAGCGTATACGACTGCCAGACAATGACTAGCAACAAATTTACTTTCATCGTTTGCCAACAACAGTACAACAGCGATCTAGGTTCCAAATGCGTCAATCAGCACTGATCAACAGTACATGCTAAGTTTCTCTCCGCAGAAATTTCGCTGTGAAGGACATGGGCAGCTCCACCGGCCAGGAGTCCTGGAGAGGCGCCAAAAGTGCCATTCTATGAGCATTCTGTTTGCCTTTCTTTTCTCCATCCTTCTCTAACATCTGAAAATCGGCGTTGAAAATCGGCGTTCTTGTGCTTTGTCATTCGGTAATGAAGACTCATGTCGTTCTCCAAACTTAACCACAGTACCTGCACTTCACATTAAGTTGCATACTGCATACCTTTCAGGTTCAGTCATTGTGTTCCATCACCAAGCAAAAGGCCATTAGAGCAAAAGGTACAAGCCGAGACAGGGACCACCAAAGAGCTGGAAGGTGCAGTAGCGAAGGGCTGTCTTGATTGTACTCCAGCCTTGCAACAACTTCCAGTGAAGGTCCTTTTATGTTTGTAGGCACAAGCGTCGAAAGTTTAAAAGTCCCATACAGTTAGGAGGTCTCCGTGGTCAGTATGAGTAGTACCATAAACTTGATGCACGCAGACATTAGCCTCTGTGTTACATGTTCAAAAATTCTGAACTGTTTCATAACATCAACTTTCCATTTCATCAACCATCCTTCAAATGTCATCAAGACATTTGTCAACGAATGGCTGAGGCCTGTACTTGCACCGCTCACCGCAACTCCCACCTGGGCACAGGCAGACTCGGCCATTTCAAATCCGCCCACACCGCTTTAGCGGTGAAGGCGTGCTTATTGGGGGGCAACAGCAACACTAAATGCTCAATGACATTTGTTAATATAGCAGTCGCTATATCAGCTTTAGCTGGGGGGGGGGCAAAAACGGTTTCGCACCGAGACCAGACCCCAAAAACGGTTTCGCACCGAGACCAGAATACGGTGGTGTTTTCGACATTTTTCGAGGATTTTTGGGTGTCTGAGCGCAAGAGGGTATTGAAATGGAATTTTGGGTCATTTTGGTAGCTTTCCGGCAATGGAAAAACGGCCAAAAATGAAAAAAACATTGTACATAGCAAGATTTTGCAGGGTTTTTGGATGCCAGAGCATTGAAAACACTGCAAAAACAAGTGTTTTGGACTGACGTTATAGCAAAAAACGTGTAAATTACCGTATGCTTGACTGGAAACATTACAAAAACACTGTCAAAAGCAATGTTTTGGAAGGATTTACTGCCTTTATGGCAAAAAACGTGTAAATTACCGTCTGTTTGACTGGAAACATTGGAAAAACACTGTCAAAAACAATGTTTTGGAAGGATTTCTTATATATATGTTGGAGTTGGCTACCGGCATTGGCACATGGAAAAATTGAAGAAAACACTGTAAATAGCGGTATTTTCAACGGTTGGGGAGATAAGGGAATTGGAAGCATTGTCGAACATGATGTTTTCGACCGGTTTTATGGCGACAAAAGTGTAAAGTACCGTGCTTTGAAGGAAACCATTGCAAAAACATGGAAACACATTCAAAGAACACGGGATTTGGGAGACTATCTAGGCGTCGTTGTCTAGCTATTTGAAATTCCGCAGCTTGGAGAGCCTCCAAGGGAGGGAAAAGTGAAAATTCCATAGCTTGGGAAGCTGTCACGGCGGGGAAAAGTGAAAATTCCCTAGCTTGGGAAGCCCCCACGGGGGGGAAAAGTGAAAATTCCCTAGCTTGGGGAGCCGGGGGGAAAAGTGAAAATTCCCTAGCGCCCCCACGGGGGGGAAAAGTGAAAATTCCCTAGCTTGGGGAGCCCCCACGGGGGGGAAAAGTGAAAATTCCCTAGCTTGGGGAGCCCCCACGGGGGGGAAAAGTGAAAATTCCCTAGCTTGGGGAGCCCCCACGGGGGGGAAAAGTGAAAATTCCCTAGCTTGGGGAGCCCCCACGGGGGGGGGGAAGTGAAACTTCTTAGCTTGGGGAGCCCCCACGGGGGAAAACCACCCTTAGCCCCTCTCACGGACCGAAATAAACCTGCGGTGTGGGCGGCCACCCCACGCGAAGCGGGGTGAATATAGCATCCACAAACATCCAATAATTGATAGTTGATGATAGTTGGTTGCTCAAGTTGCTCAACACTGACCCCTTCCATACTTTCATGGCCTACGATGCCTAGTACTTGACACCCTAAATGAATGGCGACTCACAGATGCAGCCATCAACCGATGGAGTTGAAGCAATCTGCAGACCATGCAGATGCAAATGCTAAGCTGCTAAGCTCTTCGCCGACACTGCCGGGTTCATGAAGGCCCCAGAGACCTTGCCCACAGAGAGGCCACCAATCAGGATGCAGAAACCTGCGCCAAAAGGGCAACAGGAGAGACCACAAAGTTAAAGTTCGCAAGGTCAAATCCTTAACCATCCATGCGTGGATTAGTTTTCATGCCGCGTCACCTGTGTTTTGACATATATTTCTGGGGTTGGGGGGGTCGGGGGGGGCGGTGTAATAATGTTCTTGTCGCGCGCTTCTTTGTATCTTCTAACAGGTTCTTGGAACTGCAGACACGCTCGTGATGCTACGTTCTACGAGGTTCTTGGAACTGCAGACAAGCTTGTGGTTCTACGCTTCTAACAGGTTCTTGGAACTGCAGACACGCTCGTGATGCTACGTTTCTAACAGGGTCTTGGTACTGAAAACACGCTTGTCGTTCTACGCTTCTAACAGGTTCTTGGAACTTCAGACACGCTCGTGATGCTCCGCGTCTAATAGGTTCTTGGAACTGCAGACACGCTCGTGATGCTACGTTCTAAGAGGTTCTTGGAACTGCAGACACGCTAGTGATGCTACGCTTCTAACAGGGTCTTGGTACATCTTGGTACTGAAAACACGCTCGTGATGCTACGTTCTAAGAGGTTCTTGGAACTGCAGACACGCTCGTGATGCTACGCTTCTAGCAGGTTCTTGGAACTGCACACACGCTCGTGATGCTACGCTTCTAGCAGGTTCTTGGAACTGCACACACGCTCGTGATGCTACGCTTCTAACAGGTTCTTGGAAAAAAATCGTTCAGCAGTTCATGTGGCCAAAGCTCCTGGGACCGTGTCAGCCAAGTGTTTTCCTTGCAAGGTTGGGCAAAGCCGCCAAACAAGTCCACTGAAACCATGGAAGAAAAAAGGGCCAGGGTCGAGCAGATGTTGTGCAAAAAAAAATAGTTTTGTGAAATTCCAAAACCCTGATTTCACACCTAAAATATCAAAATCGATACGGCGCCACAACGCCAGACGCTTTTTTGAGATATCAGAATGCAGATTTTACCACGGCTGTCTGGGGGTCGTGCACCATGTAGTTTCACAAGTGCAGGAGATGTCCAGGTACATGCACCACAATCCACCCGCCTATGGCTACACCAAAGATCTGAGAGCTCTTGGTCTTTGGTGCCACTGCCACTCCCAGAACCACAAATGCCAGCAGACCAGTGAAGAACCTATGCAGTTCTGGAAAGGATGGAAATGGATGGAAATGGGACTTGTATCTTGCGAGATGTTGCGATGAATTCAAGGCAGAATATTGTGCAAAAGTGAGAAGCGTGTGGGAATTGTCATCACAAGTTGTACTGAAATCAGACAGACTATATACATTGCTGAAGCCCATAATGGAACACTAAAAAAAAACGGGAAACATGACAAATCAGAGAATCGGGCAAATGAACTTGATGAATCTGCAGTCTGTTGTCCACTGAGATCTTTACATTTCCGCTACTGTAGCTGCTGCCATGCTGAATCCTGCCAAAATTTCACAAATGTAGCAGCGTAGTATATGTTCAATGCTTTTAAGCTATCACATGTGCTCTCGCTTTCTACAATCCTTTGACGGGTGTTTGAAAGGCAACAAATCCGCACACTTCGATATGGCTTTCAGGTGAGAAGTTCAAGCCCTGCGACCTTCACCAGGTGCAACGGCAAAAGAGTTGCCATTGTGAAGGAGGCAGAAACACCTATGGCATCGAAGGCAAGTACTGCAGACCGCCATACTGCAACGATTGAAGGGTCACAAAACCCAAACTCTGAGGACAGCTCAATCCAGCAAAGATGGCGCTCAGTAATTGCGCTCCAACGTAGTATCCCTGACAAATCAATTGCAGCAATTTTGCAATGTAAGACTATGATTTTGGATTAGTTAATCACATCGCATCGAATCCATCAATCAATCAATCAAGCAATCAAACAATCAACCGGATTGATTCCTTCTTCCGTTGTCATTCACCTCCTGTCAGCAAACCCAAGTCACAGAGGTGCTGAGCCCGCCACAGCACGTTTGGGCGTCAGCTCTGGATCCTGGCTGCTGCAAGGCTAATACACCCTTTTTTCAAGTGCTGCTTCGCAAACGAATCAGTGACAAATCCACATGGCAGGATCACATGTCCGGACACCAGGATGGCGACAGTGACCTTGGAGTTGCGTTCTTTGCAAAGTGGTGAAGTGGTGAATGATTTGTCAAGTCGGTCAATGAAGCCAAGTCGCTGCAGGATTGAAGTGAGCTCCAGACCTTTATGCAGGAAAGTAAGGAGAAGAAAATATCTTCACAGGATGAACTGAGATCTCGGCACGTCTCCCAGAGCATATACCATGGCGATGAGACACCTTGCTACTCGTATCACTGATCTTTAGTGCAGTCTTGATAACAAGAAAAGAAGAGCTGCAATTGGAGTCAACATGCGAGCTACACCCTGCAATGGCAACCACGGCGAGCGCGGTTTTCGCCAAGACTGCCAGTCCAACTGTCAACACCTCAATGAAGTGGCGTTCTGATTGTTCTTTCTGAAAACAAATTGCTGTTGCTCTGTCAGTTTCACATTGAATTTCTTTGAATTCCCTGCACTGTGTTTCTGCACTTGCACACGTGCAAGAACAGTCTGAAGGATCTACCAAGGCAAAAGTGCCAATCATCTCGCTGATGAGCCTGTTCGCAATTGGATGACCATATATCATATATCTATTTTACAACTGACTATGAAACATCCTGAGCATTTCATGTACCAGCAAGGTTGGCCTTGTTCGTGGTGTCTCATGTTCGTCGAAGTCCAATGGCCGCACCTCAGAACATCAGTTTCATGTCTCTGTCAGAAAGGTTGCGACATTCACTTAGATTTCATTGTCCTTTGCAGCAAGCAGTAAACATGTTAAAATGGCAAAGATGGTAGTGATCACTAATAGATCTATTAACCCAATCAAGCAAGACACCGAGATACAGTACCCATCAGTCCTCCGCTCAAGGATGTATTTGCCCGCTCACTCAACCACTTGTCACTTGTCCAATCATTCCCCAGCACAGTCACAACCCAATCACTCATTTGCTTCATGATGCAGCCAATTCATCGATAAGTCAGTCACTTCACCCATCTTTCCATAAAGCACTCACACTCCCTCTTCCCAACATTCAAACCTTTGGCTCTTTCTGAGCAGGGAACGGCTTTAAACAGCAGGGCTGCAAAAGCAGCACCAAGCCTAAGCTGCCACATACGGTCAGAATCCTACAACAACAATGGTCCTCTTGGACATGTGAATCTCTTGACAAACGAGATCGAAAGTCACCTGAGTCATAAACAGCTGAAAGACTGCATAGATGAGGGACTTTCCAAATCCAGCACCTTGGCTTCTGATGGCTTCTGCTTCCTGTGAATTCCTGTTTTGCTTGGTCCCTTTCTGTCATTCTGCTGAGGTCAAGACCAGCACCAGCAAGGTCAGCACCGATGGTGATGGCAGGATTGATGAGTCCCCCAGAAATTGGTCCAGCAGCATATGAAGCAGCCAGCACCATTGCGCCAATCGCAAGGCCGTAGAACTGGTTCCTGACAAAAAGATGCCAAATGCACGTCTTGGTTTTGGCGAAGCTTCCCGCAAGACTGCAGCTTTGTCAGTTTGAATGTTGGAAGATATGATATGCCTCATGCTTGAGAATGCACAGCCCCTGGACAGCCAACACTTCCCCACACCGCACCCTTCTGAGTTGTAGGTGCGCGCGGCTGTTGTATTCAGCACCTGGGACGAGCTGTGCCATTATGTAGTTTTGGCATCTTTGGTATCACCAAACAATGGCACAAGAACTGCTTCCTCTGTTCCATTCAAAGGTCAAGCAGCAATTGTTGAGCCAGCTACCACAAAGCAAAGAAACGTTGAGTACAAGAATTCACATGCGCAAGCATCCAGCCAACCTTGGTGGTGGGTTGGCAGCGGCATAGGCATAGCCATCGAAAGCCCCCAAACAACTGAGTCTGGTGCTGAAACCAGCTCCAGGACCCAACCTTGCCAACATCTGAAGTTCCCAGTATCAATGTCTTGTTACAGCAACTCACACATTGCAATCCTTGATGTAACTCTCACGAAGTTCCCTAAAACAGGCCTGAAGGAGTCTGCAAAAATATTCACCTTGGGACAGAAGTGACTAGTGCTGCCCCAAACATCCATTCTTACGATAAGATCAAAGGAAAGGTGCTTCAGACTTCAACTGCCTCAGGCAGGCACAAAGCAAAGGCCACTGGCAAGACCTCCAAGAAGCTGTACCTGAGAGCAAAAAGGGATGGAAAGGACATGCAATTCTGATTTGGTAGCATTGAATGCAGAACAAAACATGCCGCCTTTTATTTTTTTCAATATCGTTTGTGGTATCTGGAAAGGTAGGACCTGAGACAAACACTGCAACGTAAGATGAAGCAATGGCTCCGTCAATTCCAGGCCTTAGAGTCTCTCAAGTGCTTCACAATTGCGGGTTGTGACAAAGACTTAAGAAAAATCATTTCAAAACAAATTGCGATGCTCCATGCGACGATCTTCTGAAATGGGTCCAAGGTTTAATTACTTTAGAGACGCGCAAAAACCAAGAGTTTTTGATCACCTCCATCAGTTTTTGTCCAAGCACCACATTGCGACACACTCCAAAACCCAAGATTAAGATTGCAGCCCTCCCAGTTTCTTGCTAACAAACAACCTGAGCCATATATAAACATCAAAGCTCTTGCGAAGCATTCAGCCCAGCGTGTTCTAAAGAAGTTCTTTGCAAGGATCCGAAACCAAAGTTCACAGCAAAAAAAACAATAAATTGGAACTAAGTCACGCCAATGTGACAGCGGGTGAGAAGTTTGCACCCAAAAGTCCAGCTAGAGCATAAGTCAGGACACTCCTGGTCATGTAGTACACTACAACATCAACAAATGCCGCACGACAGCATCGTTCACCGACGCCAACCTTCACTTTGCTTTCGGTTCAACTGGTCAGGATTTCAGGGCCATGACTGACAAGTCATGAAAATGTTCGTACTGATATTTGAAGACAAGCCAGCACGGCAGCGAAGTAGCCAAGGACAATCCACCAAATATTGCAGCCCCGGAAAGGACATTGAAACCTCAAACAATGGAAAAAATAGATTAGATCATGGGAAAACCGTCCAAAAAAATCCATCAAAGCAAACGGCAAATGATATAACGAAGAGTTGCAAAATTCACTTAGGATGTAGCCAACTGGAAAAAATGGCAAAAATGTTCCAATAAATTCAGCCGCACATCTCAAGGCCAGAGGGGTGTCAACCTGGCTTTTCGACTCACCTTCAAGCAACAAATTCATTCCACCGATTCGAGTTCCAAAACATGGCAGCCGAACGATTCCCATGCCCTCCAGCCTTGGAAAGAATTTCACATATATAAAAAACAAAATAAATGAAGTTGCGTTCATGTTGAACGATTTCGCATGATACTCAGAAATGTCAAGGACCTCACAAACTTCAATGTGGCAAGCAATGCTTGCGCGGGTGGAGATGCTCATTAAGAGCTTGCAAAAAATTGATCCCGTAAGGCAGCGCAAATAGTTTTCGTTTATTAATGCGCAATGCGTTTCCACAAAAAAAACATATTAGATCCTGTGTGTAGACACATTTTGTGCAACAGGAACCACATTTTTCCGGAAATACTTAAGGCACCATCACAACTGAAGCACTAGTTGTTGTTTTTGCTGTCAAACGCATACATGTCACAATTCAATCCATTGTTTTGTGCATTTCTATGCAAAACGAAATCTTGCAACGATACCTTGTGTATGTTTTGTTTTGTGTCTGTTGACAAGATCAGCATAAAAATGAGACACGCAAAAAAAGGATTCGGCTAGTCATACTAATCCAAAAAAAATATTCAGTAAATGTTGGTTTTGGAAACCAAAAAAATACAATGGTTTGTTATTGTTCAAGGTTTACCTCCACCCATCTGTTTTGCCTCATCAAGTTTACACGATGTGTTTTTTTACGAAACAAGTAAAGCAACAACTGCAAATTGTTAGGGGTTTCAAAATACCACAAAGTACATGATGTAATAAGGCCATCTGTAATTGATAAAAATGTATGAAAATGGTCCACAATTGCTGCATTTTTTCCCAAACAATTAATCACAAAATTTCGTTTTTCCCGACCTTGCACGCCAACAAGTGGCCAAGGAATTGTGCCACGCACTTGTAAAGGGTTCCAACGACATAGATGTTTGAAAGTTAAATGAAATAGTGAATTGCGAAACGCGTGGAGTAAATCAAATCGAAGCAGGTGGATACAAATTAAAGGACCGGATAACCCCACAAGTCAGTTTTTTCCAATAATGAGCAACAAATGTTGTAGCGGGATGGGGAAGAATGGAAAAAAAAGGAGGTGTTGAAGGATCCACAAATAAACAAATTTTGTGTGACAAAGTTGTGTGTAAAAGATGGTGTGTGTGAAAGTTGTGTGTGGCAGAGCGTATGACAAAGTTGCGTGTGAAAGATGGTGCGTGTGAAAGTTGCGTGTGGAAGAAGGTGTGTGTGACAAAGCTGTGAAACGACGACCTCATTGGCGCGCACATACGGCACAAATACGCACCTTTTTTTCGTGCACCGCCAACGTCAACCGCGATTTCTTCCCACGTTGGGTCAAAACGATCGGGGAGGTACCTGGCAGCAGCAATGCGAGCGACATGCAGCAAGCGATCAGATCAGACATAAACAACCAGATCATGCGATGGCTGTCCGTTGTGCAAGGTAACTATCAAATCTTGTGCTGATACTAAGTAATATATGTATGCTGCTACTATGCGTGGCACTGCTTGACGGTCTTTCCACCTGCACTGACTATGAACCACAGCAATGAGACTCTTCAAGTGTTCAAAACAGGTAAAGAACTGAATGAAACGAGCTCATTGGCGCGCACATACGGGACAAATACGCACCTTTTTTTCGTGCACTGCCAACGTCAACCGCGATTTCTTCCCACGTTGGGTCAAAACGATCGGGGAGGTACCTGGCAGCAGCAATGCGAGCGACATGCAGCAAGCGATCAGATCAAACATAAATAACCAGATCATGCGATGGCTGTCCGTTGTGCAAGGTAACTATCAAATCTTGTGCTGATACTAAGTAATATATGTATGCTGCTACTATGCGTGGCAGTGCTTGACGGTCTTTCCACTCTTTCCACTTGCACTGACCATGAACCACAGCAATGAAACTCTTCAAGTGTTCAAACCAAGTAAAGAACTGAATGAAACGAGCTCATTGGCGCGCACATACGGCACAAATACGCACCTGTGTTTTGTTTGCACCGCCAACGTCAACTGGGGCGCACGCGATTTCTTCCCACGTTGGGTCAAAACGATTGGTGAGGTACCTGGCAGCAATGCGAGTGACATGCAGCAATGCGTCAACAGCGAAGCGATCAGAACAGAAGTAAATAATCAGATCATGCGATGGCAGCCTGTTCTGCAAGGTAACTATCAAATCTTGTGCTGATACTATGTATGCTGCTACTATGCGTGGACGTGTTTGACGGTCTTTCCACTTGCACTGACCATGAACCACAGCAATGAGACTCTTCAAGTGTTCAAAACAGGTAAAGAACTGAATGAAACGAGCTCATTGGCGCGCACATACGGCGCAAATACGCACCTGTGTTTTTTTGGCACCGCCAACGTCATCTGCGGCGCACGCGATTTCTTCCCAGGTTGGGTCAAAACCGAGACTCGTCGATTCAATTGGTGGGATGAAGCGCGCCAGGATCTCCAGTGTTGCATTGCTGACCATCATCTCCAGTGGTGCATTGGTGTATGAGTTTCAAAGGAAGGTTATTCATGCGCCAGAGTTCGGTATGCAGATTCTTCAAAGATATCAATGCAAGCGTCCACACGCGGAAGCGTCACTCGATAGTAGGTCTGCACAGCTACTGTAGTACGAGGAGACATGCATCGTAGTTCGATCTGGTCAAAATCCCATCTGCGTCGAGCAGCTTCTAAGGTTTCAATCAGAGCTCATCCTGCGCTGAGGTCTGCATCTGTTGCCATTCCATGGGCTGGCGACAAGCGTGCTTAATGCGCAAATATAGTTATTAGATTAGGGAATGAATATGTTTCAGCCTGCGAAGAAATTTAAGATATGCAAATGCGTTTGCAGGATCGAAAAGGCCATAAAACAAACATCGAACAACTCTGGCAGCAAAGAAAGTGGTCCGCCAAAATTAAGCGTCTGGCTTGCACGTTGCTCGTGGGCTCCAGCATCTTGGAGCAGCGCCTGACAGCAAAGAAAAACCATCAAAAACCGACAGTTAGTGAAGTCTTGACAAGCACACAAACACACTCTGCGACAGCTGCGACAGCACGTCAATGCCAGCACTGCTAAACTCACATGCATTGTCCTTGCGTGAAGACACTCGGGAAGGTACCTAGCGGCAATGCGAGAGACATGCACCAATGTGGTAACAAAGCTCAACATGGCGTCTATCAAACATACAGAAGCAGGCCAGCATCGCTTCCACAAAGTATCTATCAAATGTGTACAAGGTCTTTTTCCACGTTGAGCCAAAGCGACCAGACCATACACAGATAACCATACATATAGTCATATAGATACAGCCAAACACTGTGTGCAAGTAAGACATGGCCAAACATGGCTGCAACACACGCAAACATCGCTTCTACAGAGTATCAGATTCTATCAAAAGAATCACAAAAGTAAGACATACAAAACGTCCATGTTCAATCAATGTCACCAAGTGCCGAGTTTGGAACCAAAATCTGTCTTTTTGGAGTTTGTGGCAGGTAATTCCTGATTGACTTGTGCTGGAAGCGGCCGGGTGTGAGGAGAGTTATTGCTGCTCTGCTGTGATTCTACAAGCATGATTCCGGCAGCTAAGCTCTAAAACAAATCCCTTGCCACAGGCTGCATGACGGTGATCCATGAGTTGACACCTGCTGCCTCCCAGGCTTCAAGACGATGCAACGGAACTGCAGAGCTATTATTTCTAAGTGTCTCCAAAGTTGCAGAAGTTTGGAGAAGCTTGCTCTGGTGTCTTGAAAGTCTCATGCTCTGGCGTAGCATTATGGGTTTTACGAAATTTGGCAACAAGCGCGTCAATGATTTGAATTTGCTTTAAGGTTATAGGTCCAATCAGACAGTTTACAATGGCAGGAGCAAAGCTCTGGCATGCTGGTTTTTCACATAGAAACCTCAAGCAATCTTTGTTCAAACCTGAAATCTATAGCTCCGGACCATGCCATCAGGTGTGACAGGATTTAAAGAACAGTTCAATTTCTTTTTACGCGCGGCAACTGTAGATTTCTTTGCCGCCTTAAACGTGAAAATCGAACGAGTCGGTATGCGATCAATCTAAGAGGTCTCTCGTTTGCACAACATCCAACATTGAAATTTCTGGATCAAAGGGATACACATCGAGTAAAGTAAAGATGAAATCTAAAGCCCAGCAGCCAGACCAGTGGTGACTGAGTGGCAAACTTCCTTCTCAAACATTTAAATCTGTGCTAAAAGCTTCCGGAAAGAAAGGAAGCATCAACCCACCAGAAAAAGACTCCAGAAAAGCACGTTGGCTGCCAGTGCTCTAGCATCTGTATTTTCATATGTACAAACTTGGACTACGCGTTGGAGTCGCATGCTTGCACCGGAGGAAAGCTTTGCAGGCGGATCTGCATACATCTCGCTTCCCATACGTCTTGATCATCATTCTTTACCCGTCCTTTTTTTGCAACACTTTTTTCCGCTCCTTCTGCTTATTTTCACATGTACAAGCCCCAAACAGACCTTGTTAATGTCTACACAGCTCATTTCATTGAAGAATGTCCGGCGCCATAGATTTTATTTTGAACAAGGATTGCTTGACGTTTGTATATATGAAAAACGAGCATGCTAGAGCTTTTCTACTTATACGTACGGGAAGCGAGGTCTATGCAGATCCGCCTGCATGGAATTTCCCCGTGCAGGCATGCGACTCCAACTACATAACTTTAAAGCAAATTCAAATCATTGACACGCTTGTCGCCAAATTTCGTAAAGCCTACAATCTCACGCCGCAGCATGACACTTTCAAGACACCAGGAAGCTTCTCCAAACCCCTGCAATTTGGAGACACTTGGAAGTACCTCTGCAGTGGGCGCGTGGGATGCCGCGCCAAATTGTGGCAGGTGGCATTGGGTGACATTGACGTTCCATTTGCGTTGCAGGTATGGCACTGCACTTTTTTTTTCCTCAGGTCTGGCCGTCAACGCACTAAGGCACGGTCCTTACCGTCAGACATACAAATGCAAAAGAATGCAAACAGCAAATGCTAATTCAGAACTACCGCGCTAGTTCGAAAAGAGGATTGGTCACCATGGGAATAACAGGGAAACCACAAAAAAACAAAAACAGCCAAGAGAGGCGAGTCACACTTCCCCCAGCCAGAAGTGTGTCTCCCCTCAGCGAGACACAACAAAGCAACAAGCCAAAGGGGTCGGGGCCTAACACAAACAAATACATCCCAGGTGACA